ACCTGAGATTTGGGTGGGGACACACAGCCAAACCATAACAGTCCTCAAGGCTTAACCATGTGTCAGAACTCCCTTGGTTTTTAAGGCTGAGCACTCTTCCCTTGTGTGGAAAGGGCCAGTGGTGTTGACCCATTCATCAGGATGATGATTTTTGAGAGGCCATGTCCTGTTTTTGCTGCAGGAAACGTAATCTAAATCCTTTAGGATAACCTCAAACTGTGAATTCTTTTTTTTCTCCAACTTTTATTGTAGGTTCAGAGGTGCAGGTTTGTTATGTGGGTAAACTGGGTGTCGTGGGGGTTTTGTGTATGGATTATTTTGTCATCCAGATAATAAGCCTAGTACCTGATGGGTAGTTTTTCAGCCTCCAAGGAGTCTCCAGTGTCTGATGTTCCCTTCTTTGTGTCTACGTGTACTTAATGTTTAGCTTCCACTTGTGAGAACATGGGGTGTTCGGTTTTCTGTTCCTGCGTTAATTCTCTGAGGATAATGGCCTCCAGTTGCATTCATGTTGCTGCACAGGATGTGATTTTGTTCTTTTTGATGGCTGCATACTATTCCATGGTACCACATTTTCCATGTACCACATTTTCTTTATCCAATCCACTATTGACGGGAACCTAGCTTGATTCCTTGCCTTGGCTGTTGTAAATTCTTTAGGTGCTCTCAGAGTCATCACAGAGGACACCTGTCCTCCAGCAGTGCACATTGTTCTAGTGACTTCAAATACCTTTCCTAATGGCTCCTTCCCAGGCCTGTCTCAGCGTTTTCTAGATCCCAGGGCTCAGCCTAGGGCTGGCATGGAGAGGAATGGTGGGGGCTGTGGAAGGCCCGGCTGCCATAACGCTGGCCACACTGCCTCCCTCGGCTGGCCACGGGTGGCCGGTTTCGAGGAGTCACCGGATGCCCATGTTAGCCCTGGGGTTGGCACTGAAAGGGTGACATTGAAAAGGCGCATGAGTTCCCTGCATTTTCTGGCTTCCAGAGGCCGCCTGCATTCGCTGGCTCAAGGCCCTTCCACCATCTTCCAAGCCAGCCGGGTGGCATTTTCAGATCTCTCTCATCCTATCCCTCGCCTCTCTCCTTCCACCATCGCGTTGCGTCTCCTCTCCTGACTCCAGCCCGCCTGCCTCTTCCAAGGACTTTTCCGATGCCACTGGGCCCACCTGGATGATGGGGATGATCTCCCATCTCTCGATACTCCAGTTAACTTACCTGCAAAGGCCCTTGCACCACATGTATGGGTTCCTGGAGCTGCTGTAATGAGTGACCATAAGATAGGTGGCTCAAAGCAATGTATTCTTTTACTTCTAGAGGCCAGACGTCTGAATTCAAGGTGTCAGCATGACCAGTCCTTCTGGGGGCTCTGAGGGCGGGCATCCTGTGCCCCTCTCCTGCCCTCTGGTGGTTGCCTGCGCTCCTGAGCTGCCACACCCCAGTCCCCGCCTGTCTTCCCTCTTTGTGTCCAGATTTCCCCCTTCTGGCAGGGACAGCCATTACTGGGTTACTACCCACTCAAGTGCACTGTGACCTGATCTTGATGACATGTGCAAAGATCCTGTTTCCAAATGAGGCCACACTCAGGTTCCAGGCAGGCATGAGTTTTCGGGGACACTGTTCAACCCACTGCCCCTTGTAAGGTCATACATCCATAGGTTCCAGGGATTTGGGTGTCTTTGGGGCTGCTGTTCAGTCTGTCACAGATGGCGTCTCACAGAGGTATGGGGCCTCTAGGAAAAAACAGTCCACATGGAGAATCCGGTCCTCATCGGCGTGTCTATCAGTCATCAAGGCTCACAGAGGTCCAGGTTGATGCCAGTGAGGCCTTAATTACCCATCACTTCCGTGCACATAAGAAAGGATCCGCAGAATCTTCAGCTACAGATGTGGGGCCTTTATTGTCATCGTGGGCTTTGAGGCCACTGTCAGGACAAGTTTCTATGACAGCCCCCCATATCCCTGCCCCTTCATAGTGGATTTTAGGTGGTTTTATTTGTTTTTGAGACATGGGCTCACTTTGTTGCTCAGGCCGGAGTGCAGTGGCATGATCACAGCTCATGACAGCCTCTGCCTCCTGGGCTCAAGCAATCCTCCCACCTCAGCCTCCTGAGTACCTGGGACACAGGCATGTGCCACCATGCCTGGCTAGTTTGTGTATGGAGACACACACACACACACACACACACACACACACACACACACGCATTTTGTGGGTTTTTTTCTTTTTTTTTTTTTTTTAAGAGGTAGAGTCTTACTATGTCATCTGGGCTGCTCTCTAACTCCTGGGCTCAAGTGACTCAACCCGTGTTGGCCTCCCAAAGTGCTGGGATTGCAGTCATGAGCCACCGCCCGGCAAGTACTTCTTAAAGCACTGTCTGCCGTGAGGAGAGATCCCCAGGAGCAGAGCAGGGCTGAGTGCTCAGGAGGGTTGTGATCAAGCGAGTGACCCAAACCAGTGTAAAAGGTGGCAGTGGGTGCTGCATGGAGAGGAGCCCGAATGGCAGTGTGACGGCATGGGGAGTGACTGGGGAGGACAGTGTGGTCCTCACATCATGAGAGGCAGTAGCTGCTCTGAGCACAGCGGTGGTGGTAAGGGCTGGGGCCAAGGGCAATAGTGCGCCATACCTGTTGTGCTCACTGCTGTATGCCCGGCACCTGGTATACAGTAGGTGCCTAATGGTGGTCTGTTTCTTATGGGAGTGAATAAATAGGAACCTGGTAGGTAGGAGTTAGGGGACAGGAAGCGGCAAGGACTGGTGGCCTCTGCAGCTGCTAGGATGGATCCCCAATTTCCTTAGCTGGGGAAAGTCATGGGTAGGAGCAGGTTTAGGGCAGAAAACAGAGATGCATTTTAGTTTGGTTTGAGATGCTCATGAAGCGATGCAGATGGAGTGTTGCTTAGGCGTTCGGACATGAGGCTGACAGAGGTTTGGGAGTTGATGGTCCACAGAGCTCTGCTGCCCAGCACAGGAGATATCAGTCATACAGGGTCCTGAGCACCTGAGATGCAGTCCGCCCAAGCTGAGCTGTCTAGTGCACAAAATAATACTAGCTTTGCAAACCTAGTACCCAAAATGCATGTTGAAATGATGTCTTAGATGTACTGGGTTAAATGAAATATACTATTATCATTTTCAGCTGCATTTTAAAAATATTTTTAATGGGGCTACTAGAGTCTGTATTTGTGAAATAGGATCTCACTGTTGCCCAGGCCGAAATGCAGTGGTGTGATCACTGCTCACTGCAGACTTGAACTCCTGGCTCAAGCGATCTGCCTGCGCTGCCTCCTGAGTAGCTGAGAAGACAGGCGCACGCTACCATTTGTGGCTAATTAAAAGAAACCAACAACAAAAACAAAAACAAAACTTTGCAGAGACAGGGTTTTGCTATGCTGCCCAGGCCGGTCTTGAATACGTGGCCTCAAGCTGTCCTCCTGTTTGGGCCTCCCAAAGTGCTGGGATTACAGGCCTGAGCCACGGTGCCCAGCTGAAAAAATTGAATGGCATGCATGGCTAACATCCTATTTCTGTTGGACAGCACTGGTCGAAGTGGCATGGGTCGGGGGTCACTTAGGATGGTGCAGGACAGGAGCAGCCTGAAGACTGTACCCTGAGGTCCCTCCGTATTCCCCTAGTGCGGCCTCCTGATTTAATGCTCAAGGCAACGCAGCTGTGGGGTGCCTAGCATGGTGTCCACATCACCACCCTCCCCGCAACAGAACTGCCTGCACAGCTCTTCCATCTGCAACAGCTCACAGCGGTCTTTGCCCAGCTGGGCTTTGAGGTCCACCTGCAACAATCCCCTTCATGGTGCCTTGGTGGGAATTTATCTTATGCCTGGAATCTCATCCCAAGAGCCTTTCTTTTCTCAGTTCTCATAACTAGGTTTAAAATGTCAACGATTTTGCTGTAGGGTTTGAGTATTTCAGCCAGTGTAAATTATTTGGGGGGTACAGGGCCAGTGTCAAGTTTCTTTCTCATCCTTTAGGTCTCAGCCCAAAAGTCACTTTAGCCAGGAGGACCCCTTGGCCTTAGCCCCACGGCTCTCAACTGGCCCCCTCACCCTACGGGACCTCTGGCCATGTCTGGATGTCGCCAACTGTCATAACTAAAGGGGTGCTCCTGGCATCTAGCAGGTGGAGGCCAGAGAGGCTGCTGCACATCCTACAATGTACAGGACAGCCCCTCACAACAGAGAATCATCCAGTCCGCAGTGTCAGCAGCGCTGAGGGTGAGAAACCCTGGCCTAGTCTGTTTAAGGTAGACTCTGGGTTGGGACCAAGAATCTCCAACCAATCCCCATTACTCTTTTGCAGTAGTTACTGTGGCCTGAGATTATTCAGATGGATGGCTTTTTTTTTTTTTTTTTTTTTTTTGAGTCAGAGTCTCAGTCTGTCACCCAGGCTGGAGTGCAGTGGCGCTACCTAAGCTCATTGCAACCTCCACCTCCTGGCTTCTAGCAGTTCCCTGCCTCAGCCTCCCGAGTAGCTGGGATTACAGATACCTGCCACCACCGGCTAATTTTTTATAGAGATGGGGTTTCACCATCTTCGCCAGGCTGGTCTTGAACTCCTGACCTTGTGATCCACCCGCCTTGGCCTCCCAAAGTGCTGAGATTACAGGCGTGAGCACTGTGCCCGGCCTGGGGTGGCTGACTTCTTAAAAATAACTCTTATCTGTCTGCATCATCTCCATTGTGACTCCAACAGTGCCCGTACCTGTCTTGCTCACTGCTGTATGCCTGGCACCTGGTAATACAGCAGGTGCCTAATAACGGTCTGTTTCTTAAAGGAGTGAATACATAGGAACCTGTGAAGAGGGGTGTTCTTTTTCTGTATGAAACTTTAATGCTACATTGCCAGTTTATCTAGATCTGCCTAATACAATTAACTCAAAATGGGATTTTCCTCCACTTCAATTCAAAGATGATAACACGTGAATTAAAAGTTCACTTCAATCTCCAGTTGTTGAAAAAGAATTGAGACAGAGACCATACAATGACAATTTATAAAATGTCACCATTTTTATTTTGTCATTGTAAAGAGGTTTATCTCAACCAGGTTGTAACAAAATTTCCACAGCTTATTCCAAAAGAAAATTTTAATACAAGAGATCTTAAAAAATTAAGCACATTTGTTTAAAAATCCTATTATGTAAACCTGAACATAAGAGGGTGGTTAAGAGAACATTACAGGGTTCAGGGCATCTCCGGAGACATCTAGACCTTATGTACACACAGACTATAACGGACTCTAGATTCATGGCTCCCTTACCCGAAATTCGGCTCACTGGGGCCCGATCATGGGTAACTGGCCAGGCCAGGTGCCCCCCGCAGTGGGGTTACCATTGCTCCTCCATTCAAAAGACTCGCTTAAGAAGTCGGTGTCAGATGAGTAGGCGTTCTACCCAGCAGCTAGGACAGGGATGAAGAGAGGCCGACATTCTTCTTAGGAGGAATCCTGGCTAATAAAAATTCTAATGAGCTCCACCCCCATCCCCTTCACTCCCGGGAATCTGCAGTCTCTGGGGTCACTTAGGAAGCGTTCAGTTGCTCTGGGTGCAAATGTTCGATCCCCCATTGTGTGTCCTTCTGTCCTACGCTGATGGTGAATGAGCGGCGTTTCCTCTGCAGTTCACGGAGACTGGCGGCAGAGCTGAGCACACTCTCAGGAAAGCGCTGGCCTGGGTGAGCGGGGTCCCAGTTAGAACAGGAAAGCATTTATGCACCAGTAAGAGCTAAATCCCTGGGCCTCAAACCATGAGTGAATCTAGAATCTTCTGCCAGAGGGCTGCTTGTTCATATCATAGGCTCCATCATCTTTTAAGGAAACCAAATTTCTTTTTCAGTTCTCTCTCGAAATTAGTTATAAGGAAGGATACTCCACTTGGTTGTGGGGATTTAGAAATGGAATGGTGTGCTCCAGGACAGAATTCAGTGTACCCAAATCAGGCCCAGATGACGGCAATGGCTAACATGAGGAATGGCAGAGATGACTGATCGGGATGTGGCAGGGTTGGTCTGTCCAGCGTCGGGAGACCCTGGAAGCCGCACCCTCATTCCTACTGACCCAAGAGCTGAAGCTTCATTTTAGAAACATAATCAAGATTGTGTATTAAAAACATGAATTTTTTTGGCACAGAAATGTGAGATAAAATAGACAGTGCTACAACTGTGCAAAATTAGCACAGAAGCCCATCTGAAAACAGCAAATATTTAACATTAGCTTTAATGAATTAATGCACAATATTTTGAAAAATGTTTGTTACCATCGACCTTGCTCATAAGCAGGCACCTGCCTTCCAGAAACAGCCGAAGTCTGCTGTGATCCTGAGCGAAACACCAAGGCAGAGTCAAGATAATCATCGCCTTTGGGGTTGAAACCTGGACATGAGGCTGCCCCTTCCCTGATGCCTCCTAGCTAGTCTGATGTACTGGGGAAGGAGGAGTGAGGTGAGGTCTTTCTCAGACAGGTCCCAGGAGCTGAAAACCCAGCCCTTCTTCCAGCCCTTCCATCAGTTCTGTGCCAAGGCTGGAAGATGCTTCTGGAGTGCAGGGCCTCACCCGTGTGGGCACTGCATCTCATACAGTAGCTCGGCTGAGGAATGAAGGATGGATTCTGGGGATGAGTGGAGAGGAGGGGGCTCACTGGGAGCCCAGAGAACACGGCTGGGCCTCCCTGTGAGGGGCTGGATGGAGGCACAGCCCCATGGGGGTTTGAGCAGGTGCGGCAGGAAGGCTGAGGCCCAGAACCCCATGACCTGGTCCTTGAGGTGGGCAAATGGTCACATGCACAACCAAGAGAGGCATCTACAGCTCGCCTGGGCCACTAAGCCCTGGATCAGAGTGTCAGGAAATAAGCTGCTCTTTATCCACGAGGCAGGCTGGGGGGCTTCACTCCCATTTCCTACTGTGGGTCATGATCACTGGCCCTCGTGTTAGTTTGTGGCATTGGCTACAGCCCTGCTATCCATCCGCCTGATTTAAGTGGCTTTTGGGCGCCTCTGGTTTTAAAGCACAACACATCACCTGCCACGGTTCTGAAAAAAATTAAATGGCTATCAAAGAAACCATCTTAATAAGCTCCAAGGTATGAAGCAGGGCCAAGGGCTATGAGCAGACGGGTGCAGATCCCTCCCCTGCCTCTTCCTAGATCTTCTAAGATGGCACCCTCGTTTACAACTCCACTGGATGATGATCTTCTGGAGCAGGCAGTCCCTGGATGCAGCTGGTGACTGGATGCGAGGATGGCCACCACCACAGGCTGTAAGAGCCTCTTCCAGCAAAGTGTCTTCCTCCACCAGAGGCTGCCGGTAGAGAAATGCTGGGGACCTTGATTCCCAGCTCCACATTCTGCAATGGCTTACCAGCAAAGTGTGTTGCTGGCCCCTCAGTACAGTGAAGCTGAATTGCAGACTCAGTCCAGGAAGAACAGCTGAGGGTCTGTCCCAGGTCAGGAGGGCAGGGCTGGGCTAGGTTTCCAGCAGCCTTGGACCTCCCTTCCTGGAAGCTTTCCTTCTCTCTTCGAAGGAGAGACACCTCTGCTCAGCCCGGCCTTTCCCAAGTCTTTCATCTGGGGGCAAAGAAACAAAAAATGGGATGATGCCAAATATGGAACCGGGGGATGTTCTGTTTGAGCTACCACAGGCCACAAAGAAAAAGGATTTGGCGTCTCTTCTTCCCAGCAGAGATGGTCCCAGAAAAGGGGGGGGGAGGGGGAGAGGGGGGGGGGAGAGAGAGAGAGAGAGAGAGAGAGAGAGAGAGAGAGAGAGAGAGCGCGCGAGAGCGAGCAGAGAGGGAGAGAGAGGGGAGAGACCTTCCTGGTTTTCTGAATGGGGAGCACTTCCTTTCTCAGATGCTGAGTGTGGAGAACGCTGAGTAATCTTCTTGGATGAAGGAGACAGACATGAGGTGTGAGGGATCCCTTTTGCAGGGGTGTTTTTGCAACTGAGGGGTCACAGGCCGAGCCAGCCCTCGGAATGGAATCCAGGCTGAGGGGCAAATGACACATCTCCGGGGATGGAGTTCAGGGACCAGATTCCAGCCGCAATCTTGCTAGGCCTGGGCATTTCTGCCCCATTTCTCCAGGAACCGGGAAGTCTGCCAGTCATCTCTGTTGACTGAAATTCATCCCACTGCACCAGCGAGCAAGGCAGGGGTCATCTGAGCAGCGGGATAGACTCATTCATTGCAGAATATTCTATGAGATTTCGAAGGGGAGGCTTTGGGGAGCCGCTGTCATGTGCCGGTCACATGCACTTCTGAGCAAAAATGAGATGGTCTGCATCTTTTAAGACTCTAGGGTCTGTGTGTGATCATGGGAGGTGTACCAGGAGCAGGGAGCCAGGATGGTCCCTACGTGGGTCCCAGGAACACGGGTGGGCATGTTTTCTGTGAATAATTCAGCCTTATAAAAAAGGGAAGCAGACCTTGTCCCGCCCGTTAAATACCAGCTGAGTGCATACTTGTTTCTCACGGGTTCGCATCTGTGCGTCTATCATCGCTCCTGGGGACTTTTTTTTGCTTTGTTTCTTAACAACGTGTGCAGAATGTCCAAAGTGCTTCCTGGTGGGGCATCTGGAGAGGGTGAGGACTGATTCGCATCCTGTGTTTTGGATGCAGCTGGCAGAAAAGGCTGCGGGTCAGAAGCCTGGGTGCAGGGGGATGTAGGAGAGGGGAGGTTCCTTTCAGTATCTAACAAAGAGAAGAGGGAGATGATCTGTACTGCAGGTTTCCTGGTTAGGGAGGCACTCCTGGGACCATCTCTGAGTGGGCATCAAAGACCTACTTCCAAATGACGTATGTGGCATAAACCCAACCTGGGGGGCCAGGATGAAAGCTAGAGCTTTCAGACGGTCCCTGCCTCAATGCGTGATGGTTCTCTATTGAAAGTTGCCAGCCACGTGGGCTGATGTGCACTCCGGGCCCTGGAATTTCAGATAAAGCATGTGTATTGCAGTGACGTTGGCAGACGAGGGGGCGGGAGACCAGGGCATCTCAGGTCCTTCAAACTCGCAGGAGCCGACTGTAGGAGCCGCCACCTCCATACGCACTCAAGCTCATTCGGTCTCACCTGGGTGTGGCTTATCTGGGCCAGGGTCCCCTCAGAAGTTACGCAGGCCTCCTCGGTTTCTCTGGAGGGCTGTGTATGAGTGATCTCAGCTTTCCTTCAAGGCCACGAACAGCTGTCCTTCTTGCTATGAGGGGAACACATAGCATAAACCTTCCAGATGATTCCCTAGAGATTTCTTTGAGCCAGGAGATGCTCCATGCGCACCTGGGTTGTTCCCATTTTAAGCCACTGAGTTGAAGCAGTTCCAGGACCAGCCCACGGCTTGCCATCCAACTATCACCATCCACCTGTGTCTCTGCCTCAGGTGAAGGCAGGACACACAAACTGATTCTTGCATAGTCCGTTTCAGGACCTCCTTCCTAGTTACTTAATATTTACCCCAGAATGCAAACTCAACTGTGCGGAGCATCTGAGGACGACTCTGGTCCTTCGAGGTGCTCTGACGTGGGTTAACTGAAAGAGCCCCGGGGGCCACCGAGCTGCTGGTCTCCATCCTCCTCTCCCTGCCAAGGCCGCTGCACTCTGAGAGCCACATTGAGATGGGAGGAACAGAGGACCCCATCTTAGGGATGCAGAGTTCTGTTCCCATGCACAGTGTACGGGGGACAGATGGGGGTGGAAATGTATCTTGAGTGGAGATAAACATGATTTGTTCAGTGTTCATGCTGGGTCCAAGTTCACAGACATGGATCCTGGTCTGAAAATCATGGAACCTTCTGCGGTGGTTCCCTAAGCCAAGTTTCTCACGACTGTGGGGCCAAGGCCACTGCCTTTTGGATAAGCTGTGGATACTGGGTTGCTGCTGACAGCTGGGCCGGACGTCTGAGTCCCCTCCAAGCCTGGCAAGGGCCGAGGTGGCCTCAGGCTCCCAGGGCATGGTCCTTTCTGAAGCCAGCCATGGGGAGGTAGGAGAAGTTCTCCGAACTCAAGTTAAACCTCACTAATAGCTCCTTGCCAAGGCCCTGGCGACATGTCTCTGGAAAAGAGCGCTGTGACCCTGCTGGGTGTCCAATGGCTGTCGGTGGAGGTTGCAATGAAAGGAACCAGAACCCCCCATCCCAGCCATCCATCAGTTGTACCAGGCAATAACCTTAAAAAGCAAAAGGCGAGGCTAACAGTCATGCTAGTCCACGTGTGGGAAAGAGTGGAGAGGCTGGCTCCACAGGAACCTTTCCGTGTAGGGGATCAGCTGTGCATCTCAACCACAGGGCACCCTGCCTGACCTGGCGCCCATGCTCCTGCCAGCCGTGAACTGCAGGGAGGCCACCAAACAGCCACTGCAGCCCAGGGCAGACCCTGGGAAAAGAAGGACCACGTGTCCGAGTCTGTCCAGCGAGGCGCCGCCTTGCTCTGGGGCCTGGGACAGTACGACTCCGAGAATGACCAGTTTAATTAGGGTGTCATGTGACCAGTGGGGATCGTGTGCTCTCAGGGTCACCAGGTGGACGTGGTTGTCTCGCCGAGGTGTGAGGGGCCAGCAGCAGTGGCCCAGGTGGAGGCAGCTGGCATGATGTGTAAGGCCCGTGGCTGGGGTTCCGTTGAGGTCAGAGGTCGCCGCTCTGGGGCTCCACGTTGCGTGTCTCCCGGGGTTGACCTCGGGACAGTTTGGGGAAGCGGGAAGCCGCTTTGGGCCGGCTGTTCCTGTTCACAGGCTCTCCGGGAGGGGTGATGTCACTGAAAGAGCAGGGAAAGAATCAGGTTAAGTCTGGGGTTCAAATGCAAATGGTTAGGGTCTGTGACCAGCTCACTGGAGCCGTCTCTGACTCGTAAGTGCCACCTGGAGAAATGGGAAACCGGCATTGTCACGTAAAGTTTCCATCTTTTAAAACTACTCTAAGCTTTTGGGTCCAAGCAAGCTTGGCTGTGAGTCTGAGCTAGCTTTACCACCATTCAGGTCTGCATTTTAAGGCTATGAAAGCATGTCGTAGGCGTGGCTTTCTTCCCCACATTTTCACTGATCTTCCAGCAAAGGTACAGTTGTCAGTCATGACTCTGGAGAACGCTGCATGTGAAGTCACACAAGAGGTGTAGAAGCACAGGACCAGGGCTTCCTGTGGAATTGATCCTAAGAAAGGCCTCAGGACCCAGGGTCTAGTTGTAAGGCTGTTTGGTGTGGTATTGTGCAAAAGAGCCAGGAACAGAAAAACCAGAAGATGCCACTAAGAGGGGACACTGATCCCGGTTCTGAAGCAGCACACAGCAACATTGTATGTGTGGTGCCCAGGGGACGGGTCTGGGTTGGGAGGCCCTCACCACACTTGAGGGGACAGGGTAGAGGCCGGGGAGGCTGCACCCTGAGAGTGAAGGGTGCCTGCTGGAGGGTGCTCAGCAGGGAATCCTGTGATGCGGTCACATTAAAAAAAATTAAATTGTATTTTTTTGTGACAGATTCTTAACTCTGTTGCCCAAGTTAGAGTGCAATGGTACAATCATAGCTCGCTGCAGCCTCCACCTCCTGGGCTCAAGTGCTCCTCCGCACTCAGCCTCCTGAGCAGCTGGGACTATAGGTCCTAGCCACCATGGCTGGCTAATTTTTAAACATTTTTTGTAGAGATGGGGTCTCACTATATTGCCCAGGCTGGTCTCAAACTCCTAGGCATAAGTCATCTTCCTGCTTAGCCTCTGAAAGTGCTGGGATTGCAGATGTGAGCCAGTGTGCTTGGCCAGTCCTTAATTTAATCATGTCTATAAAGTTCCCTTTGCCACATAAGGGACACGTAAATTCTGGGGCTGGGAATGTTGTTGTTACTCTGTCTACCATGAGCTATTTGACTAGGAAGTAAACATCAACAGGACTCAGCAGTTGGTCACTGAGAATGATCTTGGCTGGGAGCAGGGGCTCACACCTATAATCCCTGCACTTTGGGAGGTTGAACCGGGAGGATCACCTGAGGTCAGGAGCTTAAGACCCGTCTGCCCAACATGGCGAAAACCCCATCTTTATTAAAAATACAGTAAATTAGCTGGGCGTGGTGGTGGACGCCTGTAACCGCAGCTATTCGGGTGGCTGAGGCAGGAGAATCGCTTGAACCCGGGAGGTGGCGGCTGTAATGGGCCAAGATCGTGTGGACTGCACTCCAGCCTGGGTGACAAGAATGAAACTGTCTCAGGAAAAAAAAGAATGATCTCTAAGTGGTAAGATTACAGATGTTAGAAAATAGAAATAAGAAAAATCGACTACAATAAATATCTCACTGGGATAAAATGCTTTAAAACAAAACAGAAACCTAATAAGATCTATGTTTGCTCCTGCATCCTGAGGGCCTCTGTCATGTTGTCGCTTTCTGGATGTGAGCTCTGGGCCCCCTAGACCCTGAAAGGGAAGACAGGACCCCATCCACAGCTAGCTCCGCCCTATCTGTGGTTCAGTGAGGAACAGGGACACCTAGTAAGTCTCAGATCAGGATCATTCACCCCCAGCTGTCTCCAAGCCCAGTTTCACAAACCAGATGAGTTAAGGAGAGACTTGTGTTTATAAACAAATCATTCCCCTAGAGAGGTCCGTGCAGGGTTCCCTGAAATAGCTCAGTGCCTTCATGCGTCTCAGGAGTGATTCTCTTTACGATGATCTGGTTTGCGTTGCACCTTTCAGGGATGTAGCCAGTGTGCGAGAGGCGTCTTGCTTCCAATTGGAACTGACACCCTGATAAGCTAACAAATTGAAGACCTCTTTTAATGATTGCCTTCTCCTCCTATAAGTCAGGTTGTGCTTTGCGTTCTGTGCGTGGATGGAAAATAAACATCTGCCCTGAATCGTCTCTGAGCCCGTCCAGCCTGGTGTGTGCCGCCCATTCCTTCTTGGGGTGGGCATCTGGCTGTAGGTCCAAAGCAAACACGCCTCTCTCTTCCTTCATAAGACGACCCGCCTTACCAAAAGTCTGTTTATTCTGAACACTCCTGAGAGGATGGGTCGAAGATGCTGGAAGGAGATCTTTGTTCACAGTGTAGGGGATGGATTATTAGAAACATACAGGAAAGCTTGGATGTAAATGTCAGTTTCAACCAATGCCCTCACAACTCCCTCCCATCATGCTGTTCAGATCTGGGGTGGAACAGCCACTCCTTAGCCTGCAACGACCAGAGGCTGGGGTGGGGCCTTGGAGGTAACAGGCTCTGAGAGGGGCTGGGAGAAGCCAGTGCCTTGTAGGTGTGACAAGACAGGTAGCAGTTGGTGGGGCCAGGATGCTTTTTTAGCAAACAGCACCTGCCGTGCAGGGTGGAGAGAGGGCGGGACTCCGAGGCAAATGCCTGTGTTCAGTCCTGCTGTGGCCCATGCTGTCTGAGCCTTGGTTTCCTTGTCTGTCATTTGGGGATGACTACTGTGTGCACATCCTAGGGCTGTGGTGCATTTAAGGGCTACTGAAAGCCCCCACCTAGCTGTGTTCCTGTAGGCAAATGCCTGCCCTCCCTGAGCCCTGGAGAGAATAC